AAACGTTTGTAACTATTAAATAAAATTATTAAAAATATTATTATTTAATTAATAATTATTTATGTATTTAATAATAACTGAATAATTAATATAATATTTAATTTAATTAAAAAATAGTATATTAATAAATATATACAAACATTTTTTTTAATTATAAAACTGTAAATAATAGTGTATTTATAATATAAATATATAAATAAATTGCAAATAATTTATTAAAAGCCTAAATTTTAGATAATTAAAAAAAAATTTACTTTTCAAAACGTTTGTAATTATTAAATAAAATTATATAAAATATTATTATTAAATTGATGTTTATTAATTTATTGAATAATTATTTATATTAGATTTAATTTTATTAAAAAACAAAATAAAGTTAGCACTAAAATGGCATAAAAATAGTAATATATATATAATATATTAAATATCTAATATTAAATAAGAGATTTACATTTATCAATAACATTTAATAGACATTATTATTATTAGATAATTAATTTAATACAAAATATTAAAAGCTATTATAGTATATCAAAAGGTTAACATCAAAATTTTAATTTATTTTATATTAATAAAAATACATTATCTATTATTATAAAACTGTAAATAATAGTGTATTTATAATGTAAATAAACTTAAAAAAATGAAAATAATTGATAAATAGCTAGAAAGAAACGGAAGATTTTAAAATATACTTTTTTAAAACTTTTGTAACTATTAAATAAAATTATATAAAATATTATTATTAAATTAATGATTATTAAATTATTAATATTAGATTTAATTTTTAAAAATAGTAAAAAACTAAATAAACTTGGCACAAAAAATGGCATAAAAAATATATACATTAAATATATATTAAATTAAACTTATACATTTATCAATAACGTTTAATAATGTTATTTATTTAATACCATATATGCATAGCATTACATTAGTTTATGCATAGCGTAAAATAAGTGTATTAATACAATGTATACACATTTTATTTAAATAAAAAATTTCAATAACTTTTTTAGTTTTACATAAATCATAAAATGTTATTTATAATTAATTGAATAAAATTATATATAATATGATAGTAATTGAATAATTATAACGAAAATAATAATAATCGGTGAAATCATCAATTATATGTACTTATATACTGTAATAATAAAATCTATTGTTTAAGTCTAGTAAGCTTTACACTCACTAAAAAAAATTAACTCACAAAGTGTGTTATTATAGTAAACGTTTAGTGCTTTATAGTATCGAACATTTACCATAGTTTCACTAATTTATTATTGTGTATTTTAAATAATTTAAAAAAAATTATTATACCGTAATAATTTTTATTTATCAAAAAAATATGTAAATAAATTTTATAAATTTAAAAATTGATGTTATTTATTAATTATTATTATTTTCCTTTAACATTAATATTGCATCAACATTAATATTGCATAAACTTTAATATTGCATCAACTTTAATATTGCATCAACTTTAATATAGCATCAACTTTAATATTGCATCAACTTTAATATTGCATCAACTTTAATATTGCATCAACTTTAATATTGCATCAACTTTAATATTGCATCAACTTTAATATTGCATCAACTTTAATATTGCATCAACTTTAATATTGCATCAACTTTAATATTGCATCAACTTTAATATTGCATCAACTTTAATATTGCATCAACTTTAATATTGCATCAACTTTAATATTGCATCAACATTAATATTGAATCAACTTTAATATAGCATCAACTTTAATATTGCATCAACTTTAATATTGCATCAACTTTAATATTGCATCAACTTTAATATTGCATCAACTTTAATATTGCATCAACTTTAATATTGCATCAACTTTAATATTGCATCAACTTTAATATTGCATCAACTTTAATATTGCATCAACTTTAATATTGCATCAACTTTATATTGTAAAAGTATAAATAAGTCGAATCTTTTTTAAAAAAAAAATCAGTTTGTCTTAAGCCATCGATTGAAGCAGTTGAGAGTAAATTTAATTGTCATTATTTTGTTTAAGTAATTTAAAATAATATTTAAAAAAATATTTATCTATTCGAACAGTCATACTAAATACTCAAAATGTCTACTCCACTGGAAAGAGTGAAAGCTAAAGAGAGACAATTGGAAATGGCCCGTGCTTCAAAGAAAGCAAAAGTGGCCAATAAACAATCCAAACATTTAGTACAAAATTCGGGTACAAAATACCATGAAAGTACTGATGGGGTTAAACATCGAAAACCCGTTCGACAAAAAAATAGTAAGTTAATTTTTAAATTGTTTTTTAGATTATATTAAAAATGTTTTCGTAATTTAGATTTAAGGGATAAAATGCTCAAACGCCTTACTATCAAACGATCTGGTCGTCCACAGACAACAAGGATTACCAATTACGTTGTTTATACAACACCTCTGTATGAGATTGACAAAAATAGTTCAAAGGTATGTTCAAAAATATAAAACATTATTTATTTATATTAAATCTATTATTATTTAACAGTTATTTCAACGTCCGAAAGAAAGGTGGCCAAGAGCTCTGCCATATGAAGAAATACCAGCGCGAAAGCAATCTAAAGAGTCGCCAAAGAAGACAAATCAATGGATTTCATATAACAAATAATAAAATCATTTTAATTTATTTAATTAAAAAAATAATTGTTAAATATTTAAATTAACTTTTTTATAATTAAAGTAATGATTGAAAAATTTGTATTATTATTTAATAAAGTAAATTTGAAATTAAAGTATACTTTTCAAATCGTCCTCTAGAGGCGTTTATCCTTTTCAAATCGTCCACTAGAGGCGTCTATACTTTTCAAATCGTCTACTAGAGGCGTCTACTTTTCAAATCGTCCATTAGAGGCGTCTATACTTTTCAAATCGTCCACTAGAGGCGTCTATGCTTTTCAAATCGTCTACTAGAGGCGTCTATACTTTTCAAATCGTCCACTAGAGGCGTCTATACTTTTCAAATCGTCCACTAGAGGCGTCTATACTTTTCAAATCGTCCACTAGAGGCGTCTATGCTTTTCAAATCGTCTACTAGAGGCGTCTATACTTTTCAAATCGTCTATTTAAAATATGATCATAAAATGTACAAAAAAAATAATTCATTAATTAATTGTTATTATTTTATTAATAATAAATTGTGTAAGTTAATTAAGAGAAAAAAATAGTAAATTAAATTATTTATTTTTTATAATTATAATTATAGTTTAATAAGTAATGTTTTTCATAATATTAGCGCCAATACTAACTGTCCAATAATATGACTGTTTAGATATATATATATATACTGTATATTTAATACATTTATTTTTTAAGGCTATTAGTATTAATACTAATTATTGCAATAAAACTTATAATAATGATTGCATTATTACAGGTATTATTATAACTATATTTAATAAATTAAACTAAAAAATTATTATCTAATCATAATTATAGTTTTGTATTATATATAATGTTAGATATTTTTTTTGAATACTCATTATATATATACAGTATATTATTTATATAATACTTTTTGCTAGGTAAAATTTTTTTTTAATAATAACAATGGTAATTAATAAGTCATATAATAATTATTATTTTTTTTAATTTTAATATGATGTAATTTTAATAAATAATTAAATAAAACTTTATTTTTTTCAGGGTAACATTTTAATGGTACCACCATCAGTACTATACCACTATACTACCAGTGCCGGTGCCCAAGGTATACGTCAATCGGGTTTGATTAGACAGTCGGGTAGTACAGGTGCTTTCGGATCGGGTGTCTATATGACTGCAATGAGTCCCTATCGATACTATCGCAATGAAATTGTCAAAAATAATTACGGCTCCGGTAGTAGCCGTAGTAATCATGCCGATTGGGTAGTATTTATCTATACTAGTAGACTGGCCAAAAATAAGCTAAAACGTGTAACTACCCGAGCCAATCAGGATATCTACCGTTACCTGGATGATATCAAGGTATCATCAAGTGATATATATGACAAACCCAGGTGCTCAAAATTTAGACGTTTATCATTAATAATTTTTTTCGTAAATATTTTTAAAATTTTCAGATTTTTATTTTATTCAATTATCTATTTTTTTGTTTATCTTATTTATTTAGTATGTATTTCTATACGTATTAGTTATTTTATAATACAATTTTTATATTATTTAATTTATTATTTAATACATACATTGTATTTTGTATTAAATGTTTTATATTATTTACTTATTTATGTATTGTTATGTATATATTATATTATGTATTATATATTTTTTCTTATGTATTTATTTTTGTATTATATTATGTATTATATATTTTTTCTTATATATTTATTTATGTATTTTATACTATTAGTTATTTATCATACAAAACCATTAGTACTTTTAATTATTATTTTTCATTTATATAGTCTATACCAAAATAATTATTATTTTAATAATTATAAATTTGATATTTCAAGTTTGATTAATAATTTTATTATCAAGTATTATATTAATTAAAAACATTACTGTATTATAAGATTTAATAAATTAATAAAAAAAATATTTTTTATTTATATATTTATTAATTGATATTTAATTGGCAATTATTAATATATATACAACATTATATTATTATATTTAAAATATTTTTTTCATTTTTAGAATTTATATAAAAAATTTATAATTAATAAAATATTTTAATTATAATTTATAATAGTTTGTATAAATATCTATATCATAAATATAAATTTTATTAAGCAGAAATTAATAATTTTTAATTATACAATATATTTGAATTGTTTAATCAATTTTATTTAAAAAAAACAGATAATTAAATTAACAAAAAATATATATACTTCAAAATTAAATATAATATAAATTTAACTTTAAAATTTAAGTTAATAATTCTATATATATTTAAAAAAAATTAAATGAATAATAAAAATTATTAAATATAAAACATAAAAATAATATAATATAATATAATAGCATATTATAAATATATATATAATTAGACAATGCATCTGGGTTTATCAATAACATTAATGGGATCAATATAAATAGTACCCATATAGACATAGATTTCTTGATTACTACCGTTACCAGCACCTGGACCACCCATATTGAACAGTCTACTTGAATCTAGACAACCGATCGGTACCTTAACCAAATTGTCGGCCCGATTCATCAAATGCACCGGTATGTTGTTGTTGGTGGTGTTGTTGCTGTACTGGTTATAACCGTAGATACCGTTCAATATTTGTTGCCGATTATGTCGGGTCGGGTCCATTGTGGTCAACACAACACCGGTGACTTGTTGGCTACCTAACCATTGCGTCGATTGTTCAATATAGCCCAGCCTACGAATCCGGTTTGCAATACCGGTGCTCGTATAGTAGTATAGCCACTGTTGTTGTTGTTGTTGAGTTGTTGGCTGAAAAAAATATAATTAATTAACAATAAATAGTTTATTAAATATATATATATTACTGTATAGCTATTAGACTGGTGGGGGTGTTGGTGTGTCATATTAGTATTGCTTGTATTATAGTAGTGGTAGGCACTGGTGGTAGTATTTGGCTGATTATTACTACTACTAGCTTGTGATGGACTACCACTACCAGTGGTTAGACCATTGGTGATGGTTTGGCTTGAATTTATTGTTGGTGTTGTTGGTGTTAACGCATTTAATATACCGGTTGTATTAATTGGTGAAACACGTTGTATATATTTGCAAAATTTGTTCAATAATGATGAAGTATTTTGTAGGCCAGTCGTGTTGGAAGCACCGGTAGTAGTAGTCGGTGTTGTCAATGTACTAGCGGTTATGGCCGGTATCATGTTTGTACTACTATTACTACTACTACTAGATGATTGGGCAAAATTAGACTGGCCATTATTTGACATAGACAGTGATGCAATTGTAGGGTGCTGGCTCAATTGATTGACATTTAGTGATCCCGGAGCTGCTACACCCGGAGGTCTACTAGTAGATAATGAAGATGATAATGATGGTACCAGTTCAAGTATCTGTCCACCAGTACTGCCATATCCAACAACATTATTAGCTAGCTCATGTTGTTGTTGAGCACAGTTACATAGCTCACCTCCATTACCTTTTGTAGTAGTAGTAGCAGTACCATCACTATCATCATCAGTCATCAAATTTGATGGTTGTCTACTATGATTACTATCCGATGATGATGTGGTATCTGAGCTGCTGCTGCTGTCATCGGCGCTCAACAATATAACATCATCATCGTCTAACTGTTGCTGTTGTTGTTGTCGACCACCACCACCACCACCACTACCACCAGGTGCTCGATAACTCTGGTGATTGGATGGATGATGACTACCATTGCCTACGACACTGTTCGGCTTTAAGATATGGCCAGCATTTACGGTGGTATAAGGAGTATCGGTTTGGGTTTGACGACTAACCACTTGTTGTTTCGCTACCACCGCCACCACCCGTTCCTTACGCTTAGTTAGCTTTTTCTGTTGTTTTGTTTGTTGTTGTTGGGACAACTGTCCACTGTTGCTAGTGCCGATACCGCTGCCGAGGCCTGAACTGGTAGGCGGCTCTACTAAACTCATAGGGCTTACCGACTGTGCCAACAACCGGTTATTACCGGCGCCTGTATTCTCTCCAGTGGTACTGGTGTTAGTAAATGCAAAATCATTATTATTATTAGTAGTAGTATTACTAGCATTATTAGCACCGGTAGCAAATTGTGCTACTGATTGTTGTTGTGGTGGTGGTGTTGGTATTGGATACAACATTTGTGTGCCAGTGCTAGATGTTGCCGGAGCCATATAGGACTGATATGGTGACGGTTGCTGTTGTTGTTGTTGTTGTGCCATCACTAATGTGTTACTACCGGTGCCAGTATACTCTTCAGCAGCAGCAGCACCAGTAGTAGTCATAGAGCTTTCCATAGCAACCTCCTCCTCCTCCTCAGCTGCTCCTCCTAATGATGATGATGGCCGACCCGGGATATAGTGGTTCATATGGTTTATTGATTCACCACCACCGGTGGTGGCACCGGTAGTAAATGCTGTAGATTGTTGTGGTGGTGGTGGTGATTGATACATCATTTGTGTACCGGTGCTAAATGATGATTGACCCGACGGTTCTCTGATACTGGACTGATATGATGGAGGAGTAGTAGGAGGAGGAGGAGGTTGACCACCAACCACAGTGCTATTTAAATGCAAACTATATGCAGGTGGTGGCGGGTAGTTATAGCCGCCGCCTACCGATGCCAATTGTTGGCCAGCACCGGATGGCATAGATGTATAGTTGTTATTGTTGGTGGACTGGTGTTGTTGTTGCATACCGTTCCTATCGCACCGGGGCTTATCCATCACTTGTTGTGGACTAACCGCAATCGTGTCCGCATAGCGATAGAGATCGTTGTTAACTTGGCTGAGCTTCTGATGGTCTAACTGTGTCGGATGGACAACAACACACCAATCGGCCCGATTGTGGCAGCTATTGCTACCGCCGATACCAGTAACTGTACCGTGAATACTGTCCACTATCTCCGATCGATAGTGTCGGGTCGGATCCATTGAGCTCAGGTAGACACCCGGTCCGTAAGCGTCCAGATAGCCATTGCTCGGCAATAACATACCTGAGCTTATGATGCGTTGGGCGCCCACCGTATTGGTGTAATGATATAGTGGTACCGATAATGACTATCATTATTATTATTAATGTATAAAAAAAATTAATTATTAAATTAATAAATTATTATTAAATATATACTATAATAGTAATTATAGTTTTAAATAATTATTAATTAAAAATTACTATTTTTTTTTGTTGATTTTAAATTTTTTTCAATAAACTTATTTTATTTTAATATTTAATATATATATTTTTAAAAATTAATTATTAAATTACTAAATTATTTTTTAATTTATTATGATATATATATATAATAATAATAGTAATTAAAGTTTTAAATAATTATTAATTAAAAATTACCATTTTTTGTTGTGTTGAGTTTAAATTGTTGTCAATTTACACAATTATAAATAAATTTTTAATAATATAGTAGAAAGTATAAAACATTTATGTATATTATTATTAATTATAAAAATAAAAATAAATTATTTATTTCATTTCATTTTATTGATTGTGAGATAAATTAAATGACTGTACAATAACTATATATTATATCATTTGAATGTTGTTTTCAAATATATTAAATAATATAGTAATTTACTGGTAATATAAAAGATATATTATATAAAAAATATATGTTTATATTAGAAAATAAAAGGTTATATTATATTATAATATGATTAACATATAGTATATACAGTACTGTATAATAATTTTTATATATATTTGTTTTGATATAACTGGTTATATCTATTAGTTTTAATGATAAATACAGTATTATTTTATAATAATGTAATGCAAGTGCAAAGTACTAAATAAATAATCATTTCTTTTATTTTTTATTTTTTAAAAATAACTAATAAATAATGATTGCAATATATTAATAGTTGTAAAATATATAAATAACGTAATTATAAATATTATGCTAGTTAATAAAAGTATATAAAAATAATCAAGAATTTAAATAAATATAAATTTACATATTTCAATAATTTGGACAATAATTGTTGATAGCAAACCAATTATTAGAAAATAGTATGCTAGTTTCAAATCAACTAGTTTAATTACATGAAAATTATTATTTTTATCATGCTGATTAATATCATTGACAATATTGTAATCAATATTATCATTATTATAATCATTTTTATTTATTTTTTTATTGATATATTTGGTACTATCGGCTAACATTAGTTTATTAGTTACCGTAATATGTCGTAATATTAGACCCGATTCACTATATGTTAGAAATCTATATTACATAAAACAAAAATTTACTTAAAAAAGTTATTTTTTTGTTATTTTTAATTATTTAATTAACATTATAAAAAATAATTAATGTTAAGTATTACTACTATTATAATACCTTTTTTTGAATTTTGTTTTAATTGTTTTATTCAATGATTTGCGTACAAAAATTCCAGACATACCAAACAACCTGTTATTTACAGACTTATGTAACGGTAGTGTCGGATACATACCAACAATATTGTCGACAAATTTTTCGCCATTTATTAACACCGATTGGCCGCTTAATAGTTGATGTAAAAATTTTTTTGATCTAACATTTTCAAATCGAAAATCTTGATATACTAGCATCGGATATGTTGTCTAAAAAAAGTTAAAATTAAATAAAATATTTTTTAAATATATTATTTTCAATATAGATTTTTTTTCTAAAAAAATTATTTTTATTTAAGTAAAATACCTTTAAATATTTTCTATATACAGTACTATATTTTGCTATCAATACAACTATATTATTGTTATTATTATTATTATTATTGATTAGTAAATCATCCAGATCATCAATAAATGTTGATGGCTTATAGGCTAATTGTGCTAAAAATTCACTATTAAACAATTGTATCCAAACTAGACAACTAAATAGCCAAATAGCAAATATAATTTTCGACACTGAACAATTAACCATATGGTTGCTTATAGTAGCTAGATAAAATTTAAATATAAAAAATAATTAATTATAAAAATAATTAGTAATAAAAATAATTAATTATTAATAAAAATAATTAATTATTAATAAAAAAAAATTATATAGTTTATTTTTTAAAATATATATATACTCACATTTACTAATTAATACTAATAGATGATCCAATGTTACGCATACTAAACAATTTAATAAATCAAATGGTTTGACTGGGTTTTTATTGAATTTTTCTATGATCCATGTGTTAAGTACAATAAGACTAGTACATATGATAAACATAATTAAAATAAACAACCATAATATTGGACTAAATTTGGGTAACACTGTAAACTGTACTGTATATCCAGTATAATCTCCAGATAATATTGTTAATAAATTATGTATATTTGACGGTTATATTGGATCACATATTTTCAATATATCAGTTGAATAAATCATATTTCTGATTATGACATCAATTGTCTAGTAATAAATTTAAAAAATATAAATATATAGTAAATTATTAATATATAAACTTTTTTTTAAATAAATAAATTAATAAATTTAGCTAGTTAACATTATTATGAACCAGTCCCAAAATCCCTGTCCATGTATTATTATTATTAGCTACTAATAATTCACCAGAAATACTATGATTGAGTTGTATATAATCTAATCTATTATAATTAATTTTTTAAAAAAATAATTATTATTATTATAGTTATAAAATCATGTATTTTTTCAATTATAACAATAAATAATATAAAGTAAAAATAATATATTTGTAATAATTTGTTGCAGTTAAGTAAATATTTTAATTAATATTTTAAACTTATGGTAAATAATTACAAATAATAATTTTATAAATTAAAAAATGATATATTTTTAAAAAAATAAAAATGTTTACCTGCAATTTAAATAGTTAATTAATATTTCAAAAATCATTACAAATTCGTAGCAAAATTCATAATAATTGCCAGTCAATTGATCAATCTAAAATTATTATTAAAAAAATAATTAAATGCTTAAAAATTTTATCGCATATTTTTATGGTTATATTATAGTTAAATTTAATAATTAAATTACAAAATAAATAACCTTACATTTAATGATGCTTTTAAACTACAATTAAAATTGTCTGTATTATTATTATTATTATTAAGTTTATTAATAACATAATAATTATTATCAATATAATTAACTGTAGTATTTAATGTCGGTATCCACTTAATGCATTGTTTTAACATTTTTTTTAATTAATAGATTCAAATTATAATATGTAAAAAATATGAATTTTAGTATAGAAAATAATTGTAAAATATTTTTATTAATTTGATTTTTAAAATGATTATTTATTTATTTACTTTATAACATTAAAAGCAACAATTTATATATACTATTTTTTGAATACATTAGAAATAAAGTAAATAATTAAAAAATGTTTTATTGTATTTAAAATTATTTATAAATTATATTTTTCTTCACTGTTTACTATTATCGATATGTATTTAATTAAAATTTGTATAATTTTTTTTAATATTTACTATTATGTATTTAATTAAAATTTGTATAAAATTATTTAAATTAAATATTATTTGAAAATTTAATACTATATATAACAGTATACTGTATTTAATTTTTGTATTATAAATATTTTATTGTGTTATTTGTATAAGTGTTTGTTATTTTAATCAAATAATTTTTAAATAAAAAAATTACTAATTAAAAAAATTAAATTTTACAAAATAGCATTTATTAAAATAGGTATTGTTGTTTATTCAAAAAAAAAATATTTAATTTAAATAATCAATAATTTACATTTAGTAATTTTAATCAGGAAATTTTGTATACTTAATAAACTATATATTTCAATTTAATTAATTTTTATTTTATAACAAATATCTATGCAATACAATAATATTAATTAATTTAAACTTTTTTGTGATCAATTAATTTATTTTTTTAAAATGATTGTTAAAATTTGTATTACTAATAGTAAAATACTGTAAATTAATAAAAAATATAAATGTAATAAATATCATTCAATTAGAAAATAAGTATTTTTAGACGAAAATACATTAATATTTTAATCAGAAACTTAATTATTTAAAATTTTCGAATAAATTATAAAAGATATTTAAAAAAATAAAGATAAAAATTTTTATAATTATTATACAGTACTCAAGTCTATTGAGTTTTACTAGTATTACTATTAATATTTTTAAAAAAAATAAATATTCAATTAAACATAACTTAATGTAATAAAATATAAAAAATATTCTAATAGATATTGATAAATATTTTAGATAGCAAACTAATTTAAACTTATATTTTATTATAATTAATAAATTATAAATTTTAGTTATATAAACATTATTAACTATAACAAGTATTTTCTAATTTAATAATATTATATAATAAGATAGATATTAAAATTGATAGTGAAATAAAACAGTAAAGTTTATCTATATATTGATACTTATTATTATTATATCAAACTAATATTCAAAATTACAATTATATTAAATACTGATTATTATTATAGTTATTATTATAATTAATTAATAAAACTCGATTCATTAATTGTAATTAAAATAAAATAAAATTCAAATTATTTATATATATGATGTACAAATATCTTCATAGAAAGCATATACTGGTATTGTTAGGCTAAACGATAATAGGGTTGTTCACAAATATAATCAATAACCATAGGCGGCTCCGGTATCTGTTTAAAAAATAAATAAATATTTTATAATTATTATAAAAATTAGCAAACAGAGAGAGAGAGAGAGAGAGAGAGAGAGAGAGAGAGAGAGAAAGAGAGAGAGAGAGAGAGAGAGAGAGAAAGAGAGAGAGAAAGAGAGAGAGAATTTTATATTTATTGTAAAAAAATAAAAATATTGTCAATAGAAATGTTTGTAGATTATAATAAATACCTTTTCAATTGATGGACCCTGACCTACAAACTCAATCTTACTAAACTCATCCAGCAATTCTGATCTATTATGTATATCACTAGTCAGTACAGGTATAATATCTGGATATAGATAGATATTCCGGTTATTGGGTTCCGGTAGGTCTACAAGTTTTAGTTTAGTTTTGTCCAACTGATCTGTATCGACATAGACTACCCATTCGACTGATCTAATCCTACCATCTGATGGACCATAATTATTTTTGACAATATCTATTGTATTATTATAGGGATTCAATGATGTCATATAGACACCCGGCCCGTAGACAGCGTGTCGTTGATTTACCGATATTTTTATATGACCTATCTCACGTATACCATCGGCACCGTTAGCTGTAGTATAATGGTATAGTGGCGATGGCGTCGATGAAAATCTCTTAATCACAAATTAAGTGGTTATATAGTTTAAAAAAACAAATACATTATTATTTATTTTGTTTTTATCTAAAAATTAAAATTAATTAATTAATATTTTTTATTAAATTATACTTTAAATTTTGCAGGACGTCTATAAGACATTTTTTTGCATTTAAATTTTTATTTTATTATAACAATAACAAAATTTTAAAAATAACTTAAATATAACAACAACATCAACATAATACTTGTTGATATAACTTTAACTATAAATTATTTTATCATAATTTTTTTTAATATTATATTTAGGGTTATTGTTCAATTAAAAATTAAAAGCGCAATAAGTTTGTTATCTAAAAATATTATATCCTAAGTACTTGACTTTATAAATAGATATATATATGTATTTTATTAATTACATTATTACATTTTTAGTAACAATAATGATAATATTGATAATAATGTAAAAGAAAGTTATGGTAACACTACATAATTTTATCAGTAATTTTTTTGAGAAATTAAATATTGTAAAAAAAATTATTTATTGATATTATATGATATTATTATAATATTATATTATATAATATCTGTAAAAATAAATACAATAATTTTTATGTATAGTATTAATATAAAAAATCTGTTTCAATAAATTCAGTAAACTAATAATATTTAAATGTTAATGTAATTTATTAATTTTGTTAAAACTACAAATAAAATTATTATTGATATACATAATTATATATTATTATGATTATTTTTTTAATATTAATTTTATTAATCATTAATATAAATTTTTAAAGTATAATAACAATAATAAACAATTGATTAGATATTTAATTTTTTATTTAATTAGATATTTAACTAATAATATCAAATAGACTTTAGTTTATACTGTATTTCAGTATATAATATCATATAATATTTTATGTTTATAGATATTTTTTTTTAACTTTACGATAATGTAATAGACTATAATTTTATATTTAACAATTATAATAATTTTATTGATTGGTAAAATACAGCTAAAATATATTATCATAAAATATTATAGTAAATGATAAGTATTTATTTTTTGGTTTAATTATCATTATATTTACATCATTACATTATATAGTCATAAATATTTACTTTATTATTATTCAAAATCATATTAATTTTAAAAAAATAATAATAATTTAGTTTTTATTAATATTATCTTTAATAATAAATCAATCGAATTTTTATAATGGTAATTTTTTGAAAAATAAATAATATTTTTATTAAATCATAAAATAATAATAAATTATTAATTATATAATATTTATTAATAATTTTTCTATTGAAGATCTTATCGGTAGTGCCATCCAGACTATACCACTATACTGACAGTACAGGTGCCAGTGGTATACGTCAATCGGGTTGTATTAAACAGTCGGGTAGCGGTTATTTTGGACCGGGTGTCTATCTAACATCATTAGATCCATGCTATTATAGCAAACATGAGATTGTCAAAAATAATTATGGCCGCTTAGATAGCATGATCCACTTGGTCGATTGGGTAGTCTATATCGATACTAATAAACTTGATAATGGTAGACTGCACCTGGAGTCTACCAAACGGGATGTCTATCGATACACTGATGATATTATAGATATATCGACATCAGATATACATAATATAACCCAGTTGACTGCTCAATCATCTGGTGGTCAATTTGCTGTTTATGAATCAGCCTTGGTAATTTTTGTTTATTAATTTTTATTTTAAAATCTATAAATATTAAGTATATTTAGTTAATCTTGATTACTATATTTTATATAAAAAAAAAACAAAACAAAAACATATATATTTTTTAATAATAACTAACTTTATTTTGTTTTTTTAATTATTAATAATTTTTTTTGAACAGATGACAAATATGGTTATTGAGTATATTAGTGGACAACCCTATTCACGTTTGGTCTAAACAACCGGATACCTGTAAAAACAATTTATATATAAATTATATATTAATATAAATATTACATTTATATTAATATTAATGAATATAAATGTAATGAGTTATGTATATCTAGATGTTATAGTATTTTTGATAATAGTTTTGTAATTTTTTTTAAAAAAGTAAAAAATTATGAATTAATCCTAATAACACAATAATTACAACAACAAAATTATAATCAATATAATGTAAATTTTAATATTTTAATGTTTTTTATTATTATCTTTAAATTATTTCTAAAAAAATCAAATATATATTGTATTATATTATTTGTATGATTATATGAAATAAATAAAAATTTTACAATTCTTTATTTCTATTATTATGTATTAAAAATATATAAATTAGTTTATTTTAGTAATTTAGTAAACACATACAGTTTGGATATTGAATAATTGAAAATATATGTTTTAATATTACTTAAAATATATTTATATATATATATTGTTATAGAATTATTTGTTATTATTTTATTAATCAATATTTTAGTTATTAAAATATAAATAGTTATAATTATAAGTTATAATTTATAATTAATTAGATATAACTATTAGCGCACAACTTATATAATATAAACGATAAATATATTGTAGTTTACATTAGTTTTTTACTATATAATCTAAATCAAGACATAATATATCTAATATTTTAGTGTTAATGTAATTAAAAAATATCATTTAATTTATTTTTCAAATTTCTGATAATGTAATAGACATTTTATTTTAATTAATATAGTTGTTTGTTATACTGTATTATACATGTAGTAATGAATTGAATTATTAATAATTTTTTTAATATTAAAACTTTATATACAAATAAAAATGTTATCATTGTAAAATTATAATTTTTCTAATACTTGTATTATTACATTAAACTATTTATTTTTATTTTTTAAAACTATATTAAGTAAATATTTATATATAATAAAATTTATATATTTTTCAAATGAGATTGTATTATATTTTATTATTTGATTAATTAATTTAATTTCACTAAAATTCAATTACAATGGTAATTATAATAATGTTTTTTTTCTCGAAAAGTTTATAATCTGTTTAATTCAAATTTTATTATATATAGGTATTATATAGACATCATTGACATCAACAACTACAGTGCCATCAATATTATACCACTACACTATCAGTGCCGGTGCTAAAGGTATACGGCTGGCCGGTCATATCAAAAAGTCGGGTACTAGCGGTGCATTTGAACCGGGTGTCTACATGACCTCATTGGACCCGTATAGCTACTATCGTACAGAGATTGTCCAAAATAATTACGGCTCCGGTAGCCGTACTAACTATGCCGATTGGGTAGTATTTATCTATACGGATAAACTGGTTAAAACTAGACTACACCGGGTAACTACACGGGCCAATCAGGATATCTACCGTTACGAGGATGATGTCAATGTATCGCCCAGTGATATACACGACAAACCCCAGTGTTCAAAGCCAACCAACAAATATATAGGTAGTTGGCAACCCTATGTGCCGAAAATTATTAAATTTATTTGTTATCTAATTATATTTTATTTAATTATAAAAATTATTATATTTTACACCTATTTATAAATACAATAAAATATAATTATTATAAAAGTTGAACAAGCACCTAGGTGATAATATCTCTTGATAACAAATAAAGCTTTCAATATATTTTTTTATATATATAATGTTAATAAAATTTATCATATTTATAAATTTATAGTTAGATTTTATTTACGGTAAAATTTTTACTAAGTCATAAATATTTACTTTATTAATAAAAATAAGTTTTTTTCAAAAATAATTTTTATGTATTAATATTAATAATAATAAATAGTCAATAGAATTTTTTATAATGGTAATTTTAAAAAAAATAATATTTTTATTAAATAATAGAATAATAATCACTAATTAATTAATTATTTATAATTTTTTCTGTTACACTTATAATAATCAAAATAATTGTAGAGCTTATCGATGCCATCCATGCTATACCACTATACTGACAGTACAGGTGCCAGTGGTATAAGTCAATCGGGTTTTATCAGACAGTCGGATAAGGGTGCTTATGGACCGGGTGTCTATCTAACAGCATTGGATCCATACAATTACAGCAAAGATGTGATTGTCAAAAATAATTATGGCCGCTTAGATAGCATGATCCATCGTGTCGATTGGGTAGTCTATATCGATACTAATAAACTTGATAAAGCTAGACTACTGCATATTGAGTCAACCAACCGGGTTATCTATCTATACACTGCTAATATCTACCAGATATTGCCATCAGATATCCATGAGTTTACTGATAAACTTACAGACAATAGACTAACAAGTCATACATCAGCTGCTGGTGGTCGATTTGTTGCTCATGGATCAAACAGGGTAATTTTTTAAAATATATATATATATATAAATTTAAATTAATCTATTTAGTATATTTAATTTTTTAATTAATCTTGATTACTTCGATTTTAGAAAAACAAAAAAAAATATTTATAATAATAACTAACTAATAAATAATTGTCATTTTTTTTATATAACAGATGCCAAATATGGTTATTGATTATATTTATGAACAACCCTATTATCGTTTGGCCTAAACAACCGGATACCTGTAAATTCAATTTATATCAAATTATATATATTAATATAAATATTATATATATATTTTTCTATCTACAAAAAAAACTTTTATTACATTTATATTAATATAAATATAATCAGTTATGTAAATCTAGATGTAATAGTATTTTTGATAATAGTTTTGTTTATTAATTCAACACTTTTATAAATTATATTCAACATAAATATATATATTGTATTATATTATTTGTATGATTATATGAAATAAATAAAAATTTTACAACACAAATTTTTTATTATTGTGTATTAAAAATATATAAATAAGTTTATTTTAGTAATTTAGTAAACACTTACAGTATGTATATTGAATAATTGCAAAAATATTATTTTATATTAAATAAATAAATAAATATATTGTTATAGAATTATTTGTTATTATTTTATTAATCAATATTTTAGTTATTAAAATAAAAAATAGTTAGTATAATAATAATAACCATTACCAGTATTATTTATAATTAATTAGATATAACTATTTGCGCACAACTAATATAATATAAATGATAAATATATTGTAGTTTATTTTAGTCTTGTTTTTTCTATATAATCTAAAAATTATGACA